ATTTACAACTGTTAGGACAAAATAATGAAAGTTTAACAGTTTAACAAAGGTCTTTGCTTAACCTATATAGAAGCATTTGAATTAAATATTGAGCTAGTGCTATTCCAGAAGCCAAACATAAACATATTTATGAAGGAAAAAGGCTTCTGCCCCAGAGGCTCACATTGTAGGGGTGAAGTAGACATGCCCCTCCACTCTCTACCACATCATCACCTTGGTCACCCTTCCTGGGACACAGCCACAAATCACTGCTGAAAGAATAGGAATTCTTCTTTGTATTTATGAAACAACCCTCCAACTACCAAAGCTTCCCAACTGAATCCTTCAAATGTAACTATTAAAAAACTACGGAAGCCAATAATGTGACAATATCCTACAAATAGAACTAATCCCATAGAAATCTGAACTATCCCTTAGAATTTCTGAAAGAAACAAAGAAATTTTAAGAGAATTATTATTATTATAATCAATAAAACTGAAGAAATACAGCATTCCCTTAAAAACAATGTTCAGAAAAAAGCAAAGAAGAAGAAGAGGAGGAAGAACAGAAAGAACTGGACGGAGAAAAATAATTAGCATTTCTGGAAATTAAAAGCATTGTGGTCAAATGTTTTTAAAAATAAATACATGAGCGAATTAGCAAGATGGATATGAATAAAGATTCAATTAATGATTTGGAAGATCATAAGAAATCACTTAGGACTAAAAGTAGGTCCTAGCAAACACAACATGTCCTAGCAAAAAGACATTAGAAATATAGCATATTTAAAAAACAGGCATTCTTTGCCAACAATCTGATGTCCAGCAAAAAATCTGGAAAATTATTAAAATAAATATGAGTTTACTAAGCCAGTTGGAAACAATGTCAACACATAAAATCAGTAGCTACCAATCACAAATTAGAAAATTAAACTCTTAAATATCTCATTTGGAAAACAAATAATACTCATAAACTAAGAACAAGGGTAAAGTAAATGTGCAAAACATATTTTTTAACTGCCAACCTAACCATGGACATAAGAAGACTTAAATCCTAGAGAAATACCATGCTACTATCATAAGATTCAATATTATGAAATTATAAATTTGCCCCCAAATTAGTCTATGAATTAGATGAAATCCTCTCATTTAATTCTAAAATCTACATATAATAGATCCATGAAATCAGCAAGAACATTTGTTTTAAAAGAAAAAAAATTGAGAGAAAATTTGGCCTACTACTGTACTATGTAGCCACAATAGTTAAAAACTAGCAAGAAATTAATCCAGGAATATATAGACTAGTCAGTAAACAGATTAAAAAGTCCAGCAAACAATCCATGCATACATGGGATTTATCTTGATAATGATTTTCTCCTTTACTAGGATTCTCAGAGCTCCTTTTCAACTAGGCCATAAGCCAAGGAATGTGGGCAGTTTTTAGAAGCTGGAAAAGGCAAAGAAGTAGATCCTCCCCTAGAACCTTCAATGGGACCTTAACATTGTCAACACCATGATTTTAGCCCAGTGAGACCTATTTTAGACTTTAGATATCCAGAACTAGAATAAATTTGTGTTAGTTTAAGGCACTATGTGGAAGTTTTTTCTAGCAATCATAGAAAACTAATACAATCACACACTCATCCGGTTATAAAAATACTAAGATATCCTCTGCTTTTGACATCACAGTCTCCTCCATGGAGAAAACAGGTACATTTGTATATCAAAATTCTTAAGATAGATATTAAATGTCAAGCCATAAGACTTTCTAATTATTTGAATTATACATAATTTCATTATATCTGCTGAGAGTCTGACTTCATAAATCTTTAGATATCATAAATGCCTGCATGTTAGATAAAATTTATTTGGGGGATTTTGATATAAGAAATAATAATACCCACTAATATCCAATAATATCATACAAGAAAGAATAATATCCACCAATATTATTGGTTGAAAGGGACTTACCTCTTTCCCTAAATATCTCAGTCTTTGCTATAAGGACTTTCTTCATGACTTTCTTAATTCCATTGACACTATTGTAAAATTATTTGCTAATAAAATAGGAATCAAAAGGGATAATCACTTACTATATTTTGTCAGCTTCATTCAATAATCTGGCAAACATTAATTACATATTGTTAAGCTTTTATGTATAAAATGTATTTTTGTAACAGACTGAATTCTAAAATTTTTAGAAAGTTAGCAAAATGTTTGTCAGTTGAAATTTCTTAAGAGCCTCACCTATAATAGCAGTGTAAAAACTTCAACAAGAGAGGTCAACAATGACTTGTCAATATGCACATGGGACAAACATTTTGTATTACATCTGCAATTTGTGGGTTATTCGTATAGCAACTGCAAACAGGTCTACTCAACTGTTAAAACTAAGAGGAAAAAGAAGAACTCAGTCTAGTTACTGCCTGGATGGAAAATCTAAAATATTTATGAGATGTTTTCCTTTGTTGTACATTACATATTTCCCACAGAAGTTTTTCTCCAAATTAACATTTTTTTCTTGCACATTCAGTATCAGGATGGGTTGAAGGAGGAGACAGAAATCACACCATTTCTCCTTTCAGGGATAGTGTGATAGAAAGATTAATTTAGTAAAAACATTAAGTTGTTAACTAGGTAACTGTATGGATAAAAAGAGAACTCTAAGATATAACAATGGTAGCAACTAGTTTAAGTAGTTATCACCCCTGTGGCAGGTTATTAAACAATGGAAAACATTAAAATTAATAACTTAGAAACTTAGAGAAAGGGCTTTTGAAGTTAAAACTCAGACCTCTCTAAGGAGGACAGGCTGCCCAGTTAGAGTTCGTTTCTCTGAGACAGTACATTTTAAAATTAATTTGCAAGTGTTAGAGAAACTACAAGTTTGAATTAGCTGCTGGTACATGAAAGAACTGCTGCTGCCAAAGTAAACAAGTGTTACTAGGGTGATGACTATTAGAACCATAGACAAAATGAAGTCCATGAGCAGAAAGCAGAAAAACAGAAAAGGGAAAGTCTTTTCATCCTCTTCCTACCTTGCCAATTACCTCTAATGTCTCTTCTGTGTAAAATTCAAACAGGAAGTCAGGTTGCAAAGCAGAAATGTCGTTTATAGAATTCCAGGTCCAACATCACAAAACAGAATATAGAAGGGTAAATATCCTGCTGAGAAACAACTTAGTAGTTGATATAGCTTTGGTGAACTCACATCCAAATATATTCTTTCATACAATAATACCACCACCAATCTCTGTTTCCACTTAACAAAGATGCAACTATTATTAGTGCAAATGCAGACACTATCTCTTCGAAGCGAGTAGACACGAAATCCCAACAATCATAGTATTCATTCCTATACTACATTATTCCCCAATTTCAAACACAGTCTCATTTGAATTTTCTTACCTAGCATTACATGAAAAATTAATCTCTAAAAAAACTAAAATAAGAAAAAAAAAGAAGAGATATAAAAGAATAAAATATGCACAGCTGCTACAGTCTTTATTTATGCAACTGTTCATGAGGCTGTCACTACTGTTTATAACTTCCTTCTTTCACTATTCCCTGTTTCTCCTAACATCAGCCAAGACTTCACTGGTCAGTAACCTATGCCTTCTTTCTTGAAATGTCTGAATTCTCACTACTATTTAAATGGAAGTACCAAGAGACTTCCAAGAGAATGCCCTACCTCCCTTGCGTAGCCCAATTTTCCATTGGGAAAGGAAAATTACAATCATGTCGGAAGGTGAAGGCAGAGCCAGCACTTCACATGGCTGGAGCAGGAGCAAGAAAGATAGGCAGGGAAAGTACTGTACTACACACTTAAAAAAAATAAAACAAAAAACACATCTTCTGAGAACTCACTCACTATCACGAGAACAGCACCACAAGGGGATGGCACTAAACCATTAATGTGAATCTGCCCCCATGAGCCAATCACCTCCCACCAGGCCCCATTTCCAACACTGGGGATTCAAACTGAACATGAGGTTTAGGTGGGGACACAGATCCAAACCATATCACTGACATTATCTAGTTTTCCTTTTATCATATTTCCTATAATCTGGTGTTTTCATCTGTATTCCCCAGTGTATGAGAATTACAGGTATTTTAAATCCTTTAACTACGCTTGCAATAAAATTATTTACTAGTTTTGAGTTGAAATGTTATTTTAGAAACAATATTAGAAAGTATACCTGACACTCTGAAAGACAAATACAAGAAAATGTGTCCCCTTTAAACATTTCCATTCTTTGTTCTGCCACCTAAATTGCAGCAATAAACACGTCCTTCACTCTATAGAGCTACATGGATGTGTTGCCAATTTTTTTTTTTTTTAATTGAAATGCTTATTCAAGTCATTTTACCTGGGTCAGTTGTGTCCATGAGCCGAAGTATAACACAAGTGAGAGAACAGAGTGGCAAATCTCTCACCTCGAATGTCGTTTGTCAAGGCCAAGAATTTGTACTTTTCTTCCTCCTATTGTAGCAAATGCCATGAAAGAGTGCTAATTGTACAGAGTGCTACAACCTGGGTTGTAGCATTCTGTGGGCTCCTCTGAAGGTAGAAGTTTCCCTTAAAATATAATAACTAATACATTAACGAAGTTCTTTTATGTCCATTATTTCACTAGATGTTAAGATAGCCTTGGGAGATAGATGTTTGCACTACTTCATAAACCATGAAGCTGAGCTTCACAGGGGCAGACTTTCTCTAGATTACAGTACTAAAAGCCAGATTTTCTGACCGAAACTCTTAGAAAACCAAAAAAACCCCTCCAAAGTTTAATAGACACTAGAATTTATTTAACCTGTCCCATCTTTAGCTTTTCTAATTATATTCAATGCTACTTGTTGAAAAATTATCAAAATTCTAGTATTGTAAGGATACCATGTGTCCTTTTAGTGTTTTGTTTTTATTCCATATGTCTTAAGAAACTTGGTATTAGTATATCCTAAATATGAATTGATTGTCAACTCTTTTTTTTTTTTTTTTTTTTTTTTTTTTTCTGAGTAAATATGTTAACTAGATGAGCATTTATTTACATTTTAGAACAAAGTCTCCAGAAAGGTATAAAGTTTATTAACATCTTCAAAAAAAAAGATGGGCCGGGCATGGTGGGTCACGCCTGTGATCTTAGCACTTTGGGAGGCCAAGGCGGGTGGATCACTTGAGGTCAGGAGTTTGAGACCAGCCTGGCCAACACGGTGAAACCCCATCTCACTAAAAATACAAAAAAATTAGCCAGGCATGGTATCACACACCTATAGTCCCAGCTACTCAGGAGGCTGAGGCAGGAGAATTGCTTGAACCTGGGAGGCGGAGGTTGCAGTGAACCAAGATCGTGCCGCGCACTCCAGCCTGGGCAACAAGCAAAACTCCATCTCAAAAAAAAAAAAAAAAAAAAAAAAGATGGAACAGAATACAGCTACTGAATATGATATAGTTCCTTATTTACAAGTTTTACTATAGGAGGGACATTTTAATCAGCATTTCAAATAATCAAAGGAGTAGAATTTTTTTCTAGAAATATCAGTATTTCACTCTCCAGGTATAAGATTAATGAAAACATTAAGTGACTGCACCAGTTAGAAGATAAACTAATACCTTAAAAATATATTAAAAAATGAAGGGGTACTTGCTACTTAAACATGAATTTTCACAAAATTATTCTTGTGACTAATTCAGACAATCTATTTGCTTAGAAAAGTGGGCCAAAAAAAAAAAAAAGAAAGAAAAAAAAGCACATTACATGAATATGCCTTCGTTTAAGTATGTGCTTTCACTGATTTAAAAAGGAAAGTTGAATTATGGTTTCCAGAGCTTTAGGAGTCCATCTTCACTGTAGGTAGCAATCAGGTTCTGATGAGGGTGATGTGCAATACCAATCACATCCTTCTCGTGCACTGTCAAAGTTCTCTCCAGTTTGCCAGTGACCGTACTGAAACAGTAGAGCACAAAGTCCTCCCCTACACAGTAGATCCATTCACCACGGGGAGAGAGGGCACAGCAAACAAAGTCCCCACCTTCTCTTTTACCAGAACTGAAGCTTCTGACAATCTGCCCCTGCATGTTCATGATGACCACTGTGTTTGATCTGTTGCACACCACAAAGTGCTCAGGGTTTTTAGGAAGTAGAATCACACTGTTGACGGTAATATCTGTCCCCGCGGTGCTGCCCAGGGATTTAAAGGTATTTGAACATTCTGTGGTCTTCATATTCCAGATCTTTACTGTGCCATCAGAGGATGCACTAATAATGTAATGTCCATCTTGTGTAAATGTTGCTTCGTTAACAAAGGAGGAATGGCCACGAAATTCCTTCAGTGTTTTCCCAGATTTTAAACCATGAATTCTAATTGTCTGGTCAAAGGAAGCACTAAGGATCTGACTGCTATCCTTAGAGAAGCTTAGACAGGTGACACCCTTACTGTGTGCCCTCTCAAATCTCCTTAAACACTGTCCACTCTGAATCTTCCATACCTTGATTTTTCCATCTTGGGCCCCAGTTGCTAACATTTCTGTATCTCTGCTGAAACACATGCATAGGACAGCATCATCCATCATCATAAAGTTATCCTGGGCCTGGTACTTAAGATCCTTTCTGATTTTTCCAGTAGTAAAGTTCCATACTTCAATGAATCCATCAACAGACCCAGTGACCAAATACTGACCATCTGGAGAAAATCGAGCACACTCCACATGTGACTTCTGACCAAACTTAATATGCCTACTCAGTTGTGTAGGAAATTTTTCTTCTTCCACATCTTTGACAGCTGCTTTGCCTCGAAACAAATCTATGGTCATACCAGGAGGAAGCAATCCTTGATGCTGCTGCCACTTCAGTGCCTGTCCCAGCAATGCCATGAGACGAGATGGAGGCACCACACTGACTTCACCAGCTAAGGCCTGGGCAATTGCTGCTCTTCTCTTTTCTTTGCTACTTCCATCTGGGTATGCCTCACGAGGATCAAAGTAAGACCTGGCCAAAAGGTTCTCTAGATGAATATATCGCTCTGGCTGTGTTTGTTTTAACATGATCATGGGATCCGTCTGTCTCAAAAGTGACCTGGCAGCACCCAATTCACGGAGCTCTATCAATTCCAGAACAACCTGTTCATAGAGGTCAATGAGGGTTTTGTCTGGCAATTTCAGAGACTGGATAGCCTGCAACACAGTATCCCAATGGCCACTGTTAATGTCAGCCACAAAACTCTCAATGCTGTCCACAGTATTCAGAGACACAGTAGTCTCCTCCTGCAAGGTGGCTAACGCCCGATGTAAACTGTTCTCCTTCAAGTACTGCATGATAAGGCGGATCACATCCGAAGATTCGATTTCGATCGACATAGCTGTATTTCTCCGAGAGCAGGCCCCACTTCTTCTTCAAGGCCGGTCGCGCAACACCTGATTGTCAACTCTTAAGTCAGAGTTTTCTTTCTGTCTGTAATAAGTAAAGCCAGTTTCCCATTGTCTATTTCCATAGTCTTTCAAACTTTGAATTTAGAAGCTATCCACCTTCTTTTTAAAATAGTCCAAATTCCAAAGCATAATATGGTATAACAGAACCACATACTATTGGTAACTCTATCATTTACTCAGTATCTGGAATAAATGAGCAGTTGAAATGAGTGCTTCAACAAATTTGGAGTCTGTTGGACACCTTTCTAAATTATCTATTTATTACCTATCTGAATTATCCTAATTCTCCATCAGAGTTTCACACTGAATCTGTCTTTGCAATATAGGTTTCTCCTACTGGAAGGAAAAGTAATTTTCATTAATTACTAACTTAAGATTTCTTTGTTTGTAACTATGAGCTAATGTATCAACAGCTTGTCTTATCTTTTATAAATTGGCCCATTAAAAATATTTATTATACTTTCTATTCTCCTGGGAATTTATTTCAGAGATTTAATTCAGACATATAATGTCAAAATTTTTTCAATCCTTTCTCTTCTTGGCTCTAAGAATTTTCTGTGTCTACTGAACATACAGCATTTTGTGCCATCTCTTATGCAGTGTTGTTTCACTGAATATTTTATTAATTAAAATTACTTATTTAGAAATAATTGCAGACATACAGAAGAGTTGAAAAAATACTACAAAGGGTTCCTATGTACTCTAGCTAGCTTCCCCTAATGCAAGCATCTCACATAACCATGGTACAACTGCCGAAACCAAGAATCTCATATTGGCAAAATTCTATTAACTAAACTAAAGACTTTGAGTCTACCTTGTTTCACTAATGTCCTTATCCTGTACCAGGATCTAACTCAGGGTCACACTTAGAATTTAGTTGCCTTGTCTTCTTCATTCTAGGACAGTTACTCAGTCTTTCCTTGTCATTCATGGAGATGGCATTTGTGACCAGATATTTCATGGAATGCACTTCAATTTGTGTTTGTCCGATGTTCTCTCACTATTAGATTGAGGTTATGGACTTTTGGAGATACTATTGCAAAAGTGGTGTGCCCTTCTTCTGCAAATTATATCCAGGAATACATGATATTGGTGTCTAAGTTACCAAGCACAAAGAGTTAAGGTGCATTTGTTAAATGGAAAACTTTTATAAAGAAAACATATTATATTCCCTTATTCCCTAATTTATTTATTTAAGCATTTATTGTATCATGAATATTTATTTTATTCTTTGAGTTGTCACTCAAAGAATTCTGGTCTATTTATTGTTATTTGGATTATCTTTTGTGAAGTTTGTTCTAACTTTGGCCATTGGGAGTTCTTTTTGGTTAGATCCTATATCTTTTTGACTTTTCTGGCACCACTAGACTTTCAGACATATTTTAGATGGTTTCCTGTACCCGCCCTGGAATCAACCACTACTCCAAAAAGCTCTGATACTTTTAAATAGGAAAAGATGTTTGGAAAGCAAGATCTGGGAGCTAAATAAGTTCCTGACATCTGGTATACAACTGCTTCTAGAACATCATATATATGAATACTAATTAATGCATGCATACATAACTATATTCATTTCTGCATCTAAGTATCTGTTTGCATTTTAAAAACAACACCTGAGTTGACATTGGTTCATTCTATTACTCCCACTTGGTTTATTAACGACATCTTTCTACAACATAAGTAATCTGGCTTTCATTATCTAAAATATATTTGCTTATGTGTTCAAACCTAGTATACAAATAAAATAGTTTCATAATTGTTAGCCCATGCCCATTTGAAAAACAAATTTACCAGTTGGAAGACATTGTTTGGATGTAGTCATCATTGTGCTTGGCCTAAAAGGCTCTCCTCAAAATAACTGGTTTCAAGGCTACTTCAATCAGCTCTTTTCTTCCCTACCCATTTCAGTGGGGTCATTCATTTGTCACATTCTGGATTCCATCTTGGGTTCTCTTGATATCCCGGTTGATTTTTTCTTCATATGTATATACTATTTATACTGTAGGCTTGAATGAATTTTGATAAATGCATAAAGTTCTGCGTGCACCACCACAGTACCATACAGAAGAGTTCAATCTCCCTCCAAATTCTCTTGTGCTACCCTTCTGTAATCACCGCCTACCTCCATTCTCAAGCATCAGCAACCACTATTCTGTTTTCTGACTCTATAGTTTTTCCTTTCAGATAATGGTGTATTAATAGAATTATATAATATGCATCTGTTTGTGGCAGGCTTCTTTCATACAGCAATATAGATTTAAGATCTACCAGGATAGGTAGAAGGGGTGGCAACTTCCAGACAACAGCATGAGGACTTTATGGACCAACTACTCTACAGCAAATCAACCATAGGTGGTGAAAATCATAATTAAAAACAACATGTAACACTTCTATAAATCATCCTCAGAGCATACAGCAAAGAAAGAAATACTTAGAGAAGTAAAATCTGCTAAATTTCAATAAGAACATCAATACTAGGCCCAAATGTCAAACTTAACAGATAAAATCTTCAAAACAGTCATTATAAATATGTTCAGACAACTAAAGGAAACCAATATCCTTTTATGATAAAAACACTCAACAACTCAAAATACAGAGGAACCTTCTAATCCTGATAAAAGGTACCCATGAAAAGAACACAGTAAACTTTATTCTTAATGGTGAAAGATTGAATGCTTTGTTTCTTAAATCAGAAACAAGACAAGGATATTTGCTCTCACCACTGCTATTTAACATTCTACTAGAGGTCCTATCCAGGGAGATCGAGAAAGAAAAATACAATGAAAGAAAAGAGAAAGAAAAGAAAAGAAAAAAAGACAAGAAAAAAAAGGCATCCAGATTGGATAGGAAGATAACGTGATCTTGCGTTTTAAAAATCCGAAGGAATTTACATCAAAAAAAAAAAAAAAATGCTACAGGAACTAATAAGTGAGTTTAGCATGATAGAAAGATACAAGATTAACATACAAAATTAATTTAATTTATATGTAACAGCAATTAAAATAAAAAATTCAAAAGTGAAATTAAGAAATAAATTTCATTTACAATAGTATCAAAAAGAAAAAAGTTACTCAGGTATAAATTTAACTAAAGAAGTGAAAGACTTACTAAAAATTGCAAAACATTTTTGGAAGCAATTAAAGAAGACATAAATAAATGGAAAATTATATCACCTTCATCGATCAGAAGACTTAATTAATATTGACAAGACATCAATATGAACTAAAATTGCAGATTCAATACAATTCCTAACAAAATCCCAACTGGATTCTTACAAGAAATTTCCAAGATATTCCTAAAATTCATGTGGAAATGGAAGGGGCCTAGAAAAAACAAAACAATCTTGAAAAAGAAGAACAAAAATTTGAAATGATACTTCTTCATTTCAAAATTTAACAACAGAGCTACAGTAGTCAAGACAGAGTGGTATGGGCAAAAGGATAAATATATAAATTAATGAAACAAAATACACCCTCACATTTATAATGAACTGATTTTCAACAAGGGTCCAGAACAATTCAATGGGGAAAGAGCAGTCTTTGTAATAACTGGTGCTGTGCCAACCGGTTACTCACATGCAAAAGAATGAAATTAGACTCTTACCTCATACCCTATACAAAAAATGACTCAAAATGGACTAGAAACTTGAATGTAAATGGTAAAACCATTAAATTATTAGAATAAAACATATTTCTAAATCTTCATGTCTTCAAATTAGGTAATAGTTTCTTGGATATGATACCAAAAGCACAAGTAATAATGTTTTTAAAAATGGGTAATTAGTGCTTCATCAAAACTAAAAACTTTTGTATGTCAAAGAATACAATCAAGAAAATGAAAAGAAAACCTACAGAATGGAAGAGAATATTTTCAAGACATATATTTGATTAGGAACTTTTCCAGATGCTCTCAAGAACTTTTATAACTCAATAATAATAGACAAATAACCAAATTTTTAAAAGGACAAAAGATTTGAATATACTTTTTTTCAAAGCAGACAAAGAGCCAATAATACCTTAAAAGATTTTGAACATCATTGTCATTAGTGTAATGCAAATAAAAACTACAATGAGATACAACTTCATGTACACCAGTATGGGAAGGAAGGAAGGAAGGAAGGAAGGAAGGAAGGAAGGAAGGAAGGAAGGAAGGAAGGAAGGAAGGAAGGAAGGAAGGGAGGGAGGGAGGGAGGGAGGGAGGGATGAAAAAAATAAAGAAGAGTTGGTAAAGATACGGAGAAATTCATAGCCTCACACATTGCTGGTGGATTTGGAAAATGGCGCCGCCACGTTGGAAAATATTTCAGCCATTGTTTAAAATGTTCAACATAGAGTTATCACATGCCCCTGCAATTCCACTCTTAGGTACATACTCAGAAGACTGGAAAACCATATGCTCATATAAAAGACTACATGAATTTACATAGACATACTATTCATAGCAGCCCAAATTTGGATACAATACAAATGCCTATAACAGATAAATGGCTGAGTAAAATGTGGTATAACCACACAACCGAATATTATTCAGCCATATAAAGGAATGAAGTACTGACACATACTACAACATGGAAGAACACTGAAAACATTGTTCTAAGTCAAAGAAGACACTCATAAAAGTACACGTTTTCAATAATTGTTTATATAAAATGTTCAGAATAGGCAGATTCATAAAAACAAAAAGTCGATTAGGTTACTAGGGATAAGGGGAGGGAAGAAGGGTGTGACTGTCAATGGTGTTCTTTTAATGTTATGAAAATGTCCTGAAATTAGATGGTGGTGATGGTTACACAATTTTGTGAATGTGCTAAAATCCGTGGATTATATACTTTAATAAAAAGGTAATTTTACAGTATGTGAATATCCCAATAAAGCTGTTTTTGTAAAAAGGTCACATAGTGTATGATTCCATTCATATAACATCCTTGAATTGATAAAATTATAAAGCTGGAAGACAAATTAATGATGGCCATGGATCAGGAATGAGGGTGGGTGTGGGTGTGA